TGGGGCTCGGCAGCTGCTGTGGATGCAGGGGCTGGGCGTGCGAGGAGGACGGGGGACTGGGGGACGCGGCGGAGCTAGGCTCTGGACCAATGTTCCCTCTAAGCTGAGTTAGTGTGAGCTAGCTCACAGCTTTTTAGCCTCCGGCTCACGCATTTTTGTCTTCGCTCAGGAAGGATGGGGCTCCAGAGCAAACTAATTGATGCTGCAGCCAAACTACTTGCTCACAACTTTAATGCCGGTCGCTCACAAAGTAGAATTTTTGCTCACAAGGCTCCACAGCTGAGAGGGAACCTTGCTCTGGACCGGCTCTCCAGCCTGGCGCGAGGAAGGGGGCAACCGGGGAAGGCAGGCACTGCAGCCCAGGGGGCGCTGTCTCCTCATTTTTTAAACGAGGGCTTTCCTCTGTCGCGGGGATATCCTCTCCCCCCCCCATCTAAATGTTTGAACCTTGGGGGGGGGGACAGTGTTGGGCTCAATTTTAAGCACATGGTTTTGCAGTCCCCTTTGCCAAGCTTAGGCGCACGTGCACGTCTGGGCAATAATAAGCCTGTTCTCAACGGTTAGCGTCTCACTGGCCTTTACCGAATGACCTCTGCTCCCTGCTTGGGGGTAAGCGGGCAGGAACCGAGAGGTAAACAGAGCTGCGACCTCTCTGCACGGCAATCACAGATAAAGCAGGGCTGCCCATACTCTGTGAGACATCCAAACTGTGCACCTGGGAGGACACAACATGCATACTAGAAGACAATGAGCCAATGGAAGCCCTGCGGAGGAGGGGGAGCTGGCCCTATAGGAAGGATACTCAAACTCCACGACTGAGGCAAATGGGTCAGGATCGGGGGAACTGATTCCATGTAACCAGTGATCCTCTCTCTAGTTCTTCTTCTTCTCCGTGTGTCTTGAAGGGCATGGCCAGGACACTGTTGTAGCCCTGTGAAGAACAGATCACCAGGCCCCATTCTCCCAGGGAGGCCATCCTCTCCGAGGCGCACAGCACCGTCCCTGCCCATCCGCAAACTGTGGTTTGGCAGCAGTTCCCCTTCGGGTGGGGGTAAGCGGGCAGGAACCGAGAGGTAAACAGAGCTGCGACCTCTCTGCACGGCAATCACAGATAAAGCAGGGCTGCCCATACTCTGTGAGACATCCAAACTGTGCACCTGGGAGGACACAACATGCATACTAGAAGACAATGAGCCAATGGAAGCCCTGCGGAGGAGGGGGAGCTGGCCCTATAGGAAGGATACTCAAACTCCACGACTGAGGCAAATGGGTCAGGATCGGGGGTACTGATTCCATGTAACCAGTGATCCTCTCTCTAGTTCTTCTTCTTCTCCGTGTGTCTTGAAGGGCATGGCCAGGACAGTGATGCCGGGGACACTGTTGTAGCCCTGTGAAGAACAGATCACCACGCCCCATTCTCCCAGGGAGGCTATCCTCTCCAAGGCGCACAGCACCGTCCCTGCCCATCCACAATCAACCTCCCCTGCCAGTTATAGTCTGTCCCTGTTGAGGCACCCACAAACACAGAACAGGGAGGCTGTCACCCTGGAATAAGGTGCTAGCCACCCAGGCTCTTACACCATTGCAATCCTGGCAGTATCACCTATACAATCCCCCAGCATCATGGGGGGCACACGATTCATTTCTGTGCAAGTCATTGCCAAGCATAATGCCCCGGTGTCAAAAATGATCAATTCACCTAACAAATGAAGAAGAAGAAGAGATTGGATTCATATCCCCTGCCCTTCACTACCCAGAGGAGTCTCAGCGCAGCTGACAAACTCCTCTCCCTTCCCCTTCCCACAACAGACACCCTGTGAGGTAGGCGGGGCCTAGGGAGCTCTGACAGAAACAGCTCTTTTTCAAGGACAGCTCTTATCAGAACTACAGCTTGCCCAAGGTCATCCAGCCAGGTGCAAGTGGAAGAGTGGGGAATTAAACCCTGTTCTCCCAGATTAGAGTCCGCGTACTAAACCACGACACCAGACTGTGGAAGATATCCTTTTTAAAAAAGCCCTAGGTCCCCCAAGATCAAAAATGCCATCACTGGCTTATAATCTGGGGATGGCTCTACACTTATACCCCATGCAAAGATTTCAGTTTCTTGCACTTGAGCATAGTGGCAAAGAAAGACTATAACCGGCATGGCCTCATCATCTTTGGCCCTGCCCTGGATGGCCCAGGTTTTAGCCCCATCACTCCTTGGCAAATAGAAGGGGAAGTCGTCGAAGTAGTGACAGACTTCACGTTCCTGGGATCCCAGATCACCGCAGACTGTGACAGCAGTCATGAAATTAAAAGACGCCTGCTCCTTGGGAGGAAAGTGATGGCTAACCTAAACAGCATGATAAAAAGTAGAGACATCACCCTGCCAACAAAAGTCCACATGGTCAAAGCAATGGTATTCCCAGTAGTCATGTATGGCTGCGAGAGGTGGACTATAAGGAAGGCCGAGCGCCGAAGAATAGATTCTTTTGAACTATGGTGCTGGAGAAGACTCTTGAGAGTCCCTTGGACTGCAAGAAGATCAAATCAGCCAATCCTAAAAGAAATCAACCCTGACTGTTCCCTGGAAGGCCAGATAATGAAACTGAAGCTGAAATACTTTGGAGAAGGGAGCACTCACTGGAGAAGACCCTGATGCTGGGAAAGATTGAAGGTCAAAGAAGACGGGAACGGCAAAGGATGAGATGGTTAGACAGTGTCATAGATGCAACGAACATTAAATTGAGCCAACTTCAGAGGACGGTGGAAGACAGGAAGGCCTGGCGTGATCTGCTCCATGGGGTCGCGAAGAGTTGGACTCGACTGTGCGACTGAACAACAACAACAACCTCAGCCCTCAGAAGCTAAGCAGGGTCAGCCCAGGTCATTATTTTGACAGAAGACCACCAAGGAAGTCCAGGGTTGCTACGCAGAGGAAGGTCATGGCAAAGCCACCTCTGAACCTCTCTTGCCTTGGAAACCCTAATTCAGCTGTGACTTGACGACACTTTTTGCCATTGCCAGCATCATCTTTGAGAACATCCTGCACAAAAACTAATCTTGGGGTCAGGTACAATGCTAGGGGGCATTTTGAAGGGGAGAGACGGACAGAGAAAGAGAGAGCTCATTTGGAGTAAGGTAAAGGTAAAGGTTCCCTTGCTCGAAAGCCAGTTGAATCCAACTCTAGGGTTGCAGTGCTCATCTCCGTTTCAAAGCCGAAGCGCCAGCGCTGTCCGAAGACGTTTCCGTGGTCATGTGGCCGGCATGACTAAACACCAAGGCCCCACCGAAGTGGTACCTATTTATCTACTTGCAATTTCTTGCTTTCGAACTGCTAGGTTAGCAGGAGCTGGAACAAGAGACGGGAGCTCACTCTGTCATGCGGCACACTCGGGTCTCGAACTGCTGAACTACTAACCTTCCACAGCCTGCAGTTCAGCATCTTAACCACTTGAGCCACCGCAGCTCATTTGGAGTACCCAAGTCTTATTTCAGGTTGCAACCTGTCCTGGTTCCTTATTGAAAAAGTCCTGACAGTAACTGTTGTGGGGATACGACAGTGATGTGAGCAGAAACAAAGCTCTGGGTGGAAACACTTTGAAGGGGTCCCTTTCCCGTTACCAGAACGGCAGGATTTATTTGTTTGTTTGTTTGTTTAGAGATTTTATTCCGCCCTCCCCAAAGCGGGCTCAGGGTGGATCACAGGAAACCGAGTCCAAGACTCGTGTCAATAAAACCACATTAAAACCATTAGAACAATCAACAATAAAATCTAAGCGGCTCATGGTCCCCGACCGAAGTGCAGCAGTTTCATATAAACCAGTCAGGGCCACAGGGTGGAATCAAATGGGCCCTTTCAGCGAATGGGGAACTAGAGCAGGGAGGCCAACTGAGATAGATGCCTGCTGCTGCCTCACCCAGAGGCCCGAAGGAACAGCTCCATTTTGCAGGCCCTGCGGAAAGACAGATGATCCCGTAGGGCCCCGATTTCCAGTGGGAGCTGATTCCACCAGGCTGGAGAAAGCCCTGGCCCTGGCCAAGGCTAAGCAGACATCTTTTGGGCCGGGGTAACCAGTAAGCGGTGATGGTGTGAGCACAAGATTCTTCGGGGCACCTAGGGGAAGAGGGGGTCCTTCAGATATGTCAGTCTCAGGATTAGGGGATTACTTTGAGGAGCAGAGGTGTGCAAACGACACTTCCTCTTATTCCGGGTACATGTGCACCTCCGTGCTGAGTGAAGAAAGTCTGAACCAGGCATACCCTTCTATCTCCTACACAGAGCTGTCTTGCAGTCCTGAGTGACTGAGGTCAGTCTAACAAGCAGTGCTCGGGTTGCTCTAATACACAGCGCAGCGCCACTGGATGTGGTATGCCAGAGAAGCTCATACATCTTCTGTGGGATTAGGGTTCTCCCAGGCTCAGCATGAGAGTGTGGTTTTGGATATTTGGGTCAAAGTACCATTTAGACTGATTGTGCAAAGTTGAGCAAGTCACTCTCCTTCAGCTGTATAATGTGAACAGCACAGGCTGGTTGAGAGGACAAACCTGTGTAGTGGACACAATCATTTAACCCTTAGATAAACTAGTCATGGTACTAGTATTAGGAGCTGGGTTTCCCAGCCTATTCATACAACCACAGGCTTGTAGTGGCCTTGTTGCTGTTGACACT